CTCCTTTGGTAACCATCTCTCGTGGCCTGCATGTGCTGTCGTGGTCTTGGCAAGGAGACGGGTGCAGTCCCCAATAAAAACAGTGCTTTTCGTTATATGGAAAAGGCAGCCTGGCGCACACTGGTTACACCGCGGTTCCTTTCGTCCCTAAAAAACAAATAACCATCCATTCGGTGCCTAGAATTTGCTAGCTTATTGCAAGACCCTTGAAAGTGGTAAGAACAGTGGACGCACTGCCAACAGGTGGCGACTGCGGTGGCAGACGAGGCATTTCGGCAGGGCCTGGCGCGGATCAAGAAGCCGGCCGACTTGCGCGGCTTCATCGAGCACCGCATGTGGGACCCCGAGAAGCCCCACCTCAACGCGTCAACCCCCCTGACCACCCCCATGACCACCCCCAAGAGCACCCCCCGCCACTCCATCGATGTGGACTTCCCCAAGCACAAGCCCCTCGCCTGAGCGCTGGCTCTGTGACAGCTCGTCAGGGAAAGAGCGCGGTGGTTTGCAGGTCAAATGCATGTGGGAGATAGAATGCCAAGCTAGAAAAACCCAACATGATGAAGTTTTCCTCTGCCCCGCTGCACAGGAGATCGTGTTGCAACTGCAGGTAGCAGCATTTCTCAGGTGAATGTCTGCTGCCAGAATGCTGTGTAATGTGCGGTGGGTGTGTCACACTTTGCCTTGACGATTGTAGTGGACGAATAACAGGGAGCTGCTGTGAAAAGACTCGCCGAGATGTATGTGTTGGGTGGATGCATGGCATTGTCAAGTGAGTGAAAAGTGACATAGCTGGCTTGAGGAGGGAATGTCCATGGATGCATATTCAAGCTTAAGAGAGCTGGTAGAGACTCGAGATGATTTTGCTGTACATACCTGGCTGTGAGAGCCACCTCCAAGAATATCAAGATGTTTTTTTCGCAAAGAAGCAGTGCGGCTGTCTGATTGCACAACAGGGTTGCTCATGCCATTGCACGAGTGAAATTGCCACTCGCTGCAACAATGAATGAAGAGCTGTCGCAGTGATTGAGATTTGCTAGACCAGGTCAAACAAGTTTGTCAAGGACACATGCTCTTTATATTTAAGCTGTTGCGCAACCTCATGCATTGTTCTGTAGACATGTGGAACGAGTGCTACATCCCCCCATGTTCTGCTGTGATTTGGAGCTGGAGCTGGGGCAGTTGTAAGTTGCATTATATTCCTGACTAGTGCATCCTGCTTGTCACATGGGTCAGCGGCAATGTTGTGCCTCATGTGTGTAATACATTTGCGCTTGGTTGATTGTATGGGGAAACGCAACTAACTGTGAGAAGCTTGTCAGCTGCAGGGCGCTGCTGCAGCAGCACTTGCAGGCCTGCTTAGTGAGCAGCTCAATTCTGGTGCATAACCCGTTCACATCACCCTGCAGCATGTGATGGGCTTAAGACAGCTCAAAGAAGAGGATGGCCCAGTGGTTGATGACCACTTTGAAGTGAAATTCCCCATCTGGGTCAGGATGGGTCTAATTTTGGACTAACCTTGGAGGGGTGGAGCCGAGCGCGTGTGCTAAGCAGGCTTGTTTGCTCCCATTTGCAACGTAAATGGGCAACGCTCAAGTTGTTAATAATAATTTTTCTGCGACTTTTACTACCACCGAACAGCAGTGTCGGGGATAAGATGTCGAGCTTGACGGCAAGGAGCAGCATGCCAACGAGGTTGCTGGGCGTCGCAAGCTCGGGATCGTGCCTCCTGAAAACGCAGAGGGAGGTCGCATCATCATGCAGATCTGCAGATAAAAATGATAGATTGGTCGTGCGAACAAATCCCTTCAAGCTGCACAGGCTTGAGGAGGGTCCAAGCCGGGATGTCGAGACCTCCAAAAGCGAGCTCCTGAACATGTTCAGAACAATGCTTACTATGCGGAGGTAATGATCTTCCAATGTAATCGCATGTATCAACGAAGTTTAAATGTCTGCTAAAGTATTTTGAGTATGGAGATGTATTCACACAGTGAGGACTAGGTGATGACTCGGCAAGACCGTTGCAGGATGGAGATAACTGCAGATCTGCTGTACAAGCAGAAACTGATTCGAGGCTTTCTTCACCTTGGCGACGGCCAGGAGGCCATCCCTACAGGTAGGTGGCCGTTTTAGATGCTGATTTTTCCCTGGCACCACCTATGGATGCTGGGCTCATGTCTTCCCAGCTCAATTTCTCCCCTTCCTGAAACATTATATCTCGCTTATTGGGCTCGCAGGCATTGAGGCAGCCATCACATTCCAAGACTCCATCATCCAAAGCTACAGGGACCACACTACCTTCATTGGTAGGGGCGGCACGGTGTTTTGCTTCTAGCCACATGCCTTCCTTGGCTTAACTATTAAGTGGCCTGGAGTGATGTCTGGGTCTTCTTTGCAGAGGATGATCTGTGATGTTGCAGCGGCATTGCCATCAGGTGTAAGCAGTACTGACAGCTGCCTTGGCGTGTTAGGTGAGGGAGATCATGGCAGAGTTGCTGGGGCGTGTCGATGGTGCCTCAAAGGGCCTTGGGGGCAGCATGCACCTCTTCAAGAAGGAGAACAACTTCTACGGCGGCCATGGCATTGTGGGGACCCATGTGAGTGCTTCCGTTCTGGCCAAGGTCATCCTGACAGCAAAGCTGCAGCTTTCACAAGAGGCGCAACTGCAGTTAACTGCCATCTGGACACCAATGGATACCACAAGTTCATGTGGCTGTTTAAGGTTCCGCTTGGAGCGAGCCTTGGGCTGGCACACAAGTACAAGAAGGACGGCCATGTGTCTTTCACCCTTTATGGAGACGGAGCTGCCAATCAGGGCCAAGTCTATGAGGTGACATGGTGCCTACGGTATTCTGAGCTGCTGATGATTGTACATTGACATACCCAAAAGCCTCCGATCGTGTCAGCAGAGCGGAGATCATTTGAGAATGAGGCTGCAGCTCCACTGCTGCTCGAGGGAACTTGTGGAAGGAGTTTCGTTCCAAGCTTCCTTGTCTTTTGAAGCTCCCAGTTATTGACACACATACAGCACCAGACAATTAGATGCATGCAGAACAAGGTGTACCTAATGCATGAGGGTATCGATGAAAGTATGATTGCAACATCTGCACACAGGCATACAACTTGGCGGCCCTGTGGGACCTCCCAGTGGTGTTCACAATTGAAAACAATCAATTCGGCATGGGAACCAGCGCGCGGCGCGCCTCCAAGAACACCGAATTCTACACGCGCGGCGACTACATACCCGGGGTGTGGGTTGATGGCATGGACGCCCTGGCAGTGAAGAGCGCCAGTGCCTTCGCGAAACAGCATGCTCTGGAGCATGGGCCCATCATCCTCGAGATGGTGCGGATCTTGTTCAAGAAATGCGTTTCTCCCATCACCATGTTGGCTTCACGGTGGAATAAGATTCATGTGATCAAGCTCTACAACGTCAGTCAAGTTGCCCACACAATGCAGTCTCGCTGCCAGTACACAAATTCGGAACGTTGCTGCAAAGGCGACTCGTCCTCGGAGGTGGACATTCATATGGACACAAGAGGGTAATTGGTGCTTTGTCTTCGGCATAGTGCCATGAACCACACCCTGATGATGACTTATGATTTCAAGGGGAGCATTTAACACGAAGGGACTTCTACCCTCACGTGTCAGTCAGTGAGTCACACCTTTTCCAGCCACCTAGCATGACATCCATACATTCACAGAGAAACTTGGAAACATTCACAAGGCCATCCTGACAAAGAAACTGAACCATAGAGTTAATACCATCACTTGGTGACCTCTCTTGTGTTAATACCATCACTTCGTGACCTCTCTTGTGCGCTTGATCTCATGCAGGACACGTACCGGTACCATGGCCACTCCATATCGGATCCGGGCAGCTCATACCGCACGCGCGATGAAATCCAGGGCATCCGCCGCGCCCGGGACCCCATCGAGCATGTGCACACACTGCTGCGGGAGCAGGGCTTTGCAGAGCCTGAGGAGTTGAAGCAGATTGAGAACGATGTCAAAAAGGTGCAGCCTCCATCTCTTGAGCAACACATCTGACGTAATGTCCTGCTTCCATCTGCACAGCTATAGTACTGCTAAAGTAGCATTGAGCATACCTTGTCTCCTGCGCAAGATCGGTCTGTTGGAAGTAAACAGATCCATGCCAATATGCCTTTTTCTTAACCTGTCTCACCTGTAGCTGTCCATAGCATTCAAAAGCAAACCTTTCGGCTGACAGCTGTACTTTCAGCTCCGAAGGTGCCTGACGTGAGTGATGTGCTGATCTGCAGCACGTGGCAGAGGAGGTGGAGGAAGCCAAGCGCAGCCCTCCTCCGCCCCTTTGCTACCTCTGGAAATTTGTCTACAAGAAGGGCTGGTGCGCCCAGGCCTTGGCTTCCCTTTGGATTGAAATTGCATTGCAGAGTGTCCAATTGGAGACTCTGGGAAGGCTGAGCGTGGCAGCTCTCACTGCGTTACATGATGCTCATGATCTGTACACTGAACCAAGGCCTAAGGACAGCATTGCCTTTGGCATGAATCAACGATACCTGCAGCAAGGTTCTTTGAGATGTGCTGGAAATGTCCGTTATCTCCAAGTAGCCGCATGTGCATTGAGAGGAGTTCTACTGCAGGGGTGCCAAGCTGCGTCCTGTGGAGCTGAGCCGCGGCTACATCCAGCTGCCTCCTTAGGACACATCAACACTGTGCAAGACCTGCGTGCAAAATATCAAGAAATATACAACATGCATGCATGCATGTATGCGCAGAACCGGTTCGAACCGTTGCACATTGCGGCCTGCGTGATCAATCGATCATCTTGCGAATATCTTATGAGGCTGTGTTCACAGGTTTGCATGCCACACAGAGATGTTTTCTCATGTCGACTTATTCATAATTTTGGTTACCCAGATAAAAAATTCGATGCACTGGATCCTGACATCCTGGTGACCCTGCTATAACGATATATGTAATGCCAAAAATTGGTGATTGGCACTGTTCTGCGGAACTCCGATGTCGTGGCCGAGTGGTCTAAGGCGCTGGCTTTAGGCGCCAGTCCGAAAGGGCGTGGGTTCGAACCCCACCGACATCATCCAAAAGTCAATTTTTTTCTTGTTTTTACCACGGCCACCTTCATGTTTCCTTTGGCATGCTTCATAACAAAAAGAAAACAGTGTCTTCTTGTAGGTTCAGCATTACTTCCCCACCAGGAGCACATTGCATTGCGTTTAGGAAGGCTTAGCTTCCTACTGGAAGGAAGCTATGAGGTGACTTCCGACGTCGTGGGAATGTAATTCCTCATTCGCTGGACTCATGCTTCAACGATTCGTTCGCCATCGATTATTAGGAAAGACTACTATATCCACCTGTGTAGATGGAAAGATGAGCGCTGCAGCACTGTGAACCTGCCAAGGACGGTCGTCCTATAATCCTCGATGGCTCTATTGAAAAGGCTGCCAGCGCATGTTCCAGCATTGAAAAGATGTACTGGCAGCAAGAGGCTCTTCTCAGCTATAGCGGAGCCTGTTGAGAATGATGAATCCGTGACTGTGACTGTCAACCCGTACAAACTCCATCGACTGGAGGAAGGGCCATCCACAGAGGTGGAGACGTCCAAGAGCGAGCTTCTGGGCATGTTTAAGACCATGTACACCATGCGTCGCATGGAGCTGGCTGCGGACCTGCTGTACAAGCAGAAGCTGGCACGGGGCTTCCTGCACCTAGCCGATGGCCAGGAAGCTGTGCCCACAGGTTTAGCTTCGTTCTCCCCTCATCACACCAACGACATGCTCTACAAATAGCACCCGATCCTCATCAATCCCAAAAAGAGTATGTAGACCTTGGACTATTCTGTACAGGCATGGAGGCGGCCCTGACCTTCCAAGACTCCATCATTCAGAGCTACAGGGACCACTGCACATTCCTTGGCCGAGGTGGCACGGTGCGTCAGCTACTTGTTGCTGCAATCACGCGATGATACTTGCCAGACAGTGAGTGAGACTGGACTGACGCAAGTAAGCATGTGGCAGGTGAAGGAGGTGATTGCCGAGCTGCTTGGAAAGCAGACTGGTGCTGCCAGAGGCTTGGGTGGAAGCATGCATCTGTACAAGAGGGAACACAATTTCTTTGGCGGAGAGGGAATTGTCGGCACCCATGTGCGTCAACCAGCTTCCAAAACAGGCACACTGCAGCACATGGACTGGGTGTTCCTGCACAGCGATGATCAGACATGCGTTGTTGCCTCCACTCTCTGGTACATCTTTTACACCGGGAAAGACTCTTTCAATGCAACATGTGCACACAGGTGCCGCTCGGAGCGGGCCTGGGGTTCGCGCACAAGTACAGGAACGACGGTCATGTGGCTTTTGCACTGTACGGAGATGGAGCAGCCAACCAGGGGCAGGCTGCTGAGGTAATCTTGCCATGTCTGCAGCTTGACAGGAGTGATGGTATTGTTTTTGGTTTGCTACACGGTCCTGCTCATCCTATGAGCTGCTGGTCCCGAAGTGCCAGCAGGACCCATTTGGTGTCCCCATTTTCCTTGCATATGTTTGCAGCCACAACATGCTGCTCCAACAAGGATTGAGTCCAGGCCATCAACCCAGCATTGCATGCCAATTAGATATAACAGCCGGCATTTGACTTTTCAAACATCAGCTGCAAAGAGACCCTGGAACGCGTGCACATGCCTGCTGCAGCCAGCCCCAAGATATCCAGTTCTCAAAATCAGATCTGATGTGCTCTACAGGCGTACAACATGGCAGCAATCTGGGAGTTGCCGGTGGTGTTTGTGATCGAGAACAACCACTACGGCATGGGCACAGCCGACCGGCGTGCGGCCAAGAGTGCGCAGTACTACACGCGCGGCGACTATATCCCCGGCGTCTGGGTGGACGGCATGGATGCGCTGTCGGTGAAGAGCGCCACCGCCTTTGCCAAGCAGTATGTGCTGAAGCACGGGCCCCTCATGCTGGAAATGGTGCGCTCGGCGCCTCACCTGTTCGTCCTCCTCAGTCTCGGCAATTATGCATGCCTTCATATGGCACATGCGAATTTAAACATATTGTCGAATCTTCATGGCATCTGAATAGCCCCGGTTCTGGCAGCAAACGCCCGTTTCCTTCATTTGGAAACACATGAAAGTCTGAGCAGGCAAGGCATCCTTGCTGGCATGTCAGTTTAGGGGTATATGCATAACCGCAAAGAGGGCTCAGCCGTGGCTCGCATGCAGGACACATACCGGTACCATGGCCACTCCATATCAGACCCGGGCAGCACATACCGCACGCGCGATGAGATCCAGGGCATCCGCCGCGCCCGGGACCCCATCGAGCATGTGCGCACGCTGCTGCAGGAGCACGGCTTTGCAGACGCCCAGGAGCTCAAACGCATTGAGAAGGAGATCAAAAAGGTCCATTTTGCCTGTCCTTTTCACAAGGCATGGATTGCGCAGTGGACGCTGAAGCATCAACGAAGAGTATGTTGTTGTAAGACACAGATATTTGCCTGTCGAACACCATGATTGTCCTCCATGCCCCAACCTGATGTGCAACCCAGCAAATCATCCGGGGGCATGATGGATAATTGTGGTGTGAGCTTATCACAGCCATTTAGAAGGGATTTCTCTGAGTCTATTTTGATTGTCCAAGCACCAGGAGGTGAACTGTGATCAAGTGGAGAAACATTGTGAAGAATTGAAACTCCATCGCCTCGAAGCTTTTGTGTGGCTGCAGGAAGTCAGTGATCAGATTGAGGAGGCAAAGCAAGATGCACAGCCGCCCATCGAGAACCTGTGGCTGAACATTTACAAGGACGGCCTTGGCGCCAAGATGCGCCCCATGGAGATGGGACGCCCTAAGATTCAGCTGCCGCATGGGATCACCTCTGCCAAATGAAAGTAGCTGCAACACTGTGAATTGGCTTCAGCGTAAAGCTTGTGAAGACAAGCAAGCAGGAGCCACAGATGCAGCACTCTGCAACAGAAACTGTTCTACACAATTAAATGCATGAGTAAGATCTGGCCAGGTTTTGTAGGTGCTGTGTTTCATGGTGAGGTTTTGCCTTTTGTAGAGATAGAAGCAGTTCCACATGTGATCACCTCAGTATATATATTCTTCTGACTGCCTTGCATAAGAGTCAGTGTCGTGTACAACATTTAGATAGGATTATGTATACACAATAGGGTACCTTCAGTCGAGCAAAGCTAAATTCAGCTCTTTAAAGCAATCTCATCATGATACAATATATTGACTTTGATCAACACACAATTTAATGAGCGCTGATTGCCGGCATAGCTTTTTAATGACGTTGTGCACATTAGAGCAGGTCGATAATCCTAGCAGAATTAGGGAAGGAGTTCGTAGGTAAAGCTAACATGCATACATCCACCAAGGGACTTTGCATCTATACCTATATTTCTCGAAAGGACGCCTTGTGCAAAATTGTAGTTTCAGAGCAGACAGGCATATTCTCATGGCTGTTCTACGTGAAACACCAAGGGGTGCAACTGTCAGGCAGCAACATGAGGGGACAAAAGGCAGTCCAGCATGCAGTCTAGACAGATTGGGACTACACCGACAATGTTGCTGCAAACCGCAACGCAACAAACAGACCTGCAAATGACTCTCATGCGGAATTTTGCCTCTCCCCCCCGCTTGTCCATTATGGCAGCTCTTTCAGTTGACATGTCACCCATTGTCCAAGGCTTAAAAGAAAACCCTCCCTAGGTGACCAAATTGCTGGCAACTTTGGCGATCCAATCAGCTCTTGGCCATCACACATTTTCACACCGAGCTTGTCTGATATTATTGCTAACCCCAAGTCTGGCTTGCATCTGCATTCATCAGGCAGTTGCGCAAGATGAGGCCCTCTCCAAGCCATCTTGACAGCTCAGGTCTGCAGGTTCTAGCTTGTCCAATAACCGCAGCTGATGGATGTCTTCCTCTATGCTTTCCTCTGTTCCAGAGCGCTGGCCCGCATTTGAATGCATGCCTGTGGTTGCAACCTTGGTGCACCTCTTACCACGCCAGATACCTATGGTTTCAACGGTAAGCCGGCCGTGCGCGATCACATCTCTTCTTCGTCGGTTTCATCGGACTGGCGCAGCTTCTCGATGGCTGCCTTGATGAGGTTCGCGTCCCCCGAGGACGGCTTGAGGTCGAGAGCGTGGCAGAAGTGCTGCAGCGCCTGATCTGGCCGGTCCAGGCGCTTGTAAATCTTGCCCATCTGGAACCACACGCTCGCCTCCCGCGGCGCTATGTCCTGCACCGCGTTGCACAATGCATTGTGACAAAAAAAGTCATCTATAGTACGGCAGGCCAAGATGCCACCTTTATGGGCACCAAGATGTCAGACTACAGATTCCAAGGTGGGCACAAGATGCCACCCACTTCTGCTTTGAGACAACAATGAAGCATTCATCCACACCTGCGGCAGGTCTGAATGAAACTCTCACCATTGTCTCAAAGCAGCATTGCATCAATTGCATCAAAGCCAGACTGCTTCTCAGCAAGCACAGCATGCCAAGGCGCAGCAAATTTTGACATGAACAAGCATGGAGCCTTCCGGCGCCTCACTACACGATGCCACAGTCAAGGCCAGTGTAGCCTGCCCTTCACTGATAACAGAGTTTGTGAGCAGAGCCGCCCTGGCCACATGAACCCCGCCTGCAACCTCATTGCCTTGGCGAAAGCATCAAGGCAGCACTGCAGTTAAGCGATGCATTCATGAAACCATGCTGCAGCCAGAGGACTTGTCATTCCCTGCAGCCCAGCCTGATCTGGAGAGGAACGCCCTGGGGGCCTCCATGAAGGAGACCAATCGAAAGGGACACAATCCGACAAAGTTCAAATCCAAGTCAAAGCAGAGTCCCAGCCATGAAAGTTGAAGAAGCAGCCTCACCCGCAGGCTCTGCAGCTCGGACAGGGCGTCCTCGAAGCGCTCCTGGGACAGCAGCACGCCGGCGCGCTCGAAGCGCGCGAGCGGGTTGGCCGGGTCGGCCGCGATTGCGTGTTCCAGCACTGCCAGCGCCTCTTCGGGCTTGCCCATCTTGGCCAGCGCCATGCCATAGTTGCACCGCAGCACGCTGCTGCG